AAAGTCTCACCGAACGTCTCCTTGCTACCGCGATCTCACCCACAGGAAGCCGCGACCGCGTGGCAGCAGGGCAATTGGCCGCGGATCTGGTTTGTATCTCGAGGCGGAGTTTGCACGTCGAGATAAATTTTTGGGGCCGGCGCTGGTCGTATCTCGAAAAATTTGTAAGGAGGGGCGTTCGTAACTAGAGGTACCACTGTATTGTGTAATGAACTTGGGGCCGGCGCTGGTCGTATCTCGAAAAATTTGTAAGGAGGGGCGTTCGTAACTAGAGGTACCACTGTATTGTGTAATGAACTTGGGGCCGGCGCTGGTCGTATCTCGAAAAATTTGTAAGGAGGGGCGTTCGTAACTAGAGGTACCACTGTATTGTGTAATGAACTCAAACCATTGGGTATTTAACTCAAATCATTGTTTATTTAACTTGAATCATTGTGTATTTAAGTCAAATTTGGCTACAATAGGCTCCGTTCTTAACTATGGGTCGTCTGTAACCCGGGCGTTCTGTATGCTAGCCATGAAAGCAAGGCGAACAGGTGCAAAAACCAGATCGTGCCCTAACCTTTGGAACTGGGATTCAAATAAAATTATGGAGTGACATCAAAGATTAAACCCCATTAGTCCCCAGACAAAGTGGAAGAGCTGATACTTCCCATATCTAAAGCGATAAGGAAATAAAACCAAACTCCATTTCATGAAAACAGGCAAGACAGTCAAAAACCAGACCACATCTGCTCCTTGATGGTTATTGCCAAGGATGAAAAAGCTTTATTTTCCTGCCAGCCAGCCTGGAGGTTTATTTTCGCTCTGTGTGTAATTGCAAGCTTTTCAAAGTTCCCTTTTTGCCTTCGCACAAACCTTTCATATAGGGAAGTGGAAGGAGATTCTTTTCCACCTCAGCCCACTCCCACCACACTCCACCCCGTCTTTGCCTATGCTGGTTTGTTTGTTGGTTGGTTTTACAAATTGCTTTGAGACTCTTTGCTGTCAGCATGATGAGTTTTCAACCAGTGGAACTTATTTATCTCCCAGTGGCTTGAAAGGAACATGTGAGAATTTGAAAACTGTTTTACATGGTCTCATTTGCTTTCTCTCCCCTGATAAGGAAACCACAGGGTGCAAATAAATGTGGAAACAGAGATAATGGAATTTGCAAGCATGTTATTCTATCCCTCCACTCACCCTTCCTATAATGTGATGGGCACGTTCCCAAACACCCTGAAACATAAAACCAGCCAACTATGTTAGTCAGTGTTGTGCTCACATAGCTTGTGTGGTTAGAGGAAGTCTTGGTGAGTCATGTAGATCCAGAAATTGGCTAAATCCAATCAACCATGATTCAGTAAGCCATGAGTAAGTGAAAGGTGCAAATTCAAGATTCAAATCCAACTCTTTGCTTTGTTCAGTGTCAAAACTCTAGAGGTCCTTCACTTACTCCCAAGAAGGCCTCAAGCAAAAGTTACTCTGCATGTCCCAAGTTAATCTGCAAAAAAAATTATCCTAATGTTCTGCCTGTAGAGTTTAGCTGCTTCTAATACTCCCCTAAAGAAACTTCTCCTAAGTTCAGCTTCCCCTAAGGTTCTTCTAAATAAGTTTCTTCCCATTTTCAGCTTCTCCGGTATCCTGTTAAGGAAGCTTTCAGTGTTCAGCCAGATTCTCCCCTTATAACCTAAGCTTATCACTTCTACTCTTGCCATCTAGGGCAGCAGAGAACAGATCTGGGTCCCATGCTGACCTCACAAACATTCTTAGAAAATAAAAATAGTGGGGAGCTGCAACCCCTAGCTTACAAATGAATCTATACCTAGCTTGAAAGGAGAGAGAAGAGGATGACCAGTAGCAAGGTGGATGGACTCAGTTACAGTGGTGATGGGGGCACCATGGGGAGACTTGAAGGAACAGGTTAGGGGTAGAGTGTCCTGGAGAAAATCTATCTATGAGGTCTCTAATAATCAACACTGACTTTATGGCATCGACTCAATCAATCAATACCTAGCTACCCGATGGGACGCTAGAGAGACTAAAATGCATCTTTTGGGGAGAGGGAAGAGGAGCTGGCAAGGACCAACCTCCTTTGTCTTCTGAACCTCCTTTTTTTCCAAACAACAGATGTTTTGTGACTGCTAAGCTCCACAATGGTGCCATTCTATGTCTGGTCAAGCTCCCACTGTGATAGCCATTTTTGTGAGAGCACCCAAGACATGATGGCTCCAAAGGGTAACTTATCTTGTTTAAAGAAATAAACCAACAATACACAGAGCATGTATGTCAGGACTGTCTGCATTAGGGGACATTTCAAGAAATGGAAGAAGGGATTTGACAAAGGTTCAGAGACTGGGGAAGGAAGAATCTCAGAGGAAACTAAAAATATCCAAACGTTGATGCTTCTGAATATGATGAAGTTATTTGGAGACAGAAAATGCAACTTATGGAGCACAGTAGAAGGTGGATCAAAGAAGGAAATCGTGGTTCCTAGGTTATTGGTAGCTCTGTTGTGTTTGCTGATCAAAAATGATGCAGGAGTAGGATTGGAAAATAACTGGAGGATAAATAGAAAATGTGCCAAAATGAATGAAATATTATTGGTGGGAAGAGAGGGACACATAGAATTGTTCAATTCACATTTAAATCACATTTTAATATGGACTTTCTAGCCATGCATTTCCCAACAGGTAGATGGCTATATGCCCAACCCTGCACCTTCCCCCAATATTTGCAACTCAGTGCGCACCTAAAATGCTGTGTGTGTGTGTGTGTGTGTGTGTGTACACAAGTAGAAAAAAAATATGTGCACAAAAATGTAAGAGGAAAGGACAGGCTAGAGGGGATGACCTGTGACAACTTGGCCATGATTAGTGTCTTCTCAAATGCTTACAACCTAAGAATGGCAGGTGGCAATTTTGCTCTTGAAACCAAGGAGCATAGTAAGCAATGCTGAAGCACATCTGGTACATTAATCAATCTCTCCAAGTGGCCTTCAGTGGTAGCACTGCCTCTGTAAATCTTATGCTTTCATGGCCTTTAATTACAAACACCCCATCACGCTTCTCCTTGGAGACAGGACCATAATTGCTTAGGAATGAGGGTTGATCATAGAATTGACCCAATGGCCTTTCTTTAGCCATTATTCCAGGACAAATCTTTGAACTTAAGGCAAGGGGTGGACTTGGGCTGTGAATTGCTTGGGTAGATTTAGGAATTAGC